TTTATACCAACAAGCTTTATAATCAAAAATGACGGTAATTATTCAAATCATATTGCTATCCAATAACAAATCGGATATAAAATCGATTTACCCTCATTTTATGATGTATAAACAATTTTTCTATTTACAACATATTGTAAATCATTTCAAAAGATATATTAATTATCAATCCTATAATTAGTATCGGTTTCAGTCTTTTATACCCAATTAATTATTTAAAACACTATAAGCTACTTCTTGTTCTATAGAGACGTATAATAGTACTTATAATAAAGGAACTGTTCTACTCATTATTATTAAATCTAACACTATTGTCGACACAACAAACTTTGGTGCGTTATAAAATAAAAAAAACATATTAAAATCTCTTTATTTATTAAATATGTAAATATTGACAATTGAAAAGCTGTATGTAGTGCTATTCTGTTCTCAAAAATGCTTTTACGTCATAGAGGTTCTATCAAATAAAACCTTCAAACGCTAAAAAAAGGTTTTATTTAATTGACGCTCTATGACGTGACAGCTCTGCGTTCTACGACGAGTTCGAGGGTTTTTAAGAGAATAGCATAGCTGAACCATTTTTAATTTTGGAAAATATTGAATTATAATGTGTCAATGTAAAATCGTAAGCATCATCAGTTTATATATTATTTGTTTTATTCAACTTACATTATCCAGAATGCATCAAATATCACCAAACGAGTCAATTTCACCAAAAATGTCACAGTATGTGACATACTCGTACTCTTACGGAATAACACGACACCTGAAGACCTATTTTATTTCACAGAAAACTAGATGTCATCTAATTTCGAAATGCTAATACGACAAAGTAACACATTTTTCCTCTATCTTCATGGATATGGTTTTAACAAAATTATAAGAACGATTTCTTTTCCGAATTATCTTTTGAGGACATTTTAATAGCTGTCATGTTAACTCGTACCCGTTAAATTGTCTTTTGTTTCTATCCAGATGCGTTGTAAGAAGGTACTTCTTTATCTGGTGAGCCAGTCCTCGGTACAGGCAATGACCCACAGAATCTATTAATGCTAGCGTCACATTTCTCACTGCTCACTTCTAACCATTTCTCCGTTGTAGTCGGAAAATTATCTGGCGGTATTCCACGACGACTGTTCGGCGCTGAAATTACAGCTGTTACCACGCATAATAATGCCAAAACTTCTAACGACAACATTCTGGAAAAATAAATGTATAATAACATGGTTACATTCATTCACAAATTCAAATTATGCTTCTGAGCATAAAATTACATCGGAAAACATCGATAACAATATGATGCGTAGCTGTACATCACTTTTAAACATAACGAGTGGTTTGGAAAAAAAGGGTTTTAATCTAATAGAAAATTAATCTTTTTCAATTATTAAATGTCAATTTGTGAATGCAAACTTAATAAAAAAATAAGAGTATTTATGAAGGTTTTTAACGAGTATACAAAACTTGCTTAGTGAGAGACGTAATTTTTTTATTACTGCAATTAAAATAAGATTAACCTCAACCTTGTTATGATTAAGACTTCCGTGTCTTATACTAACTAAACAATAAAAATATTAATCATACACTCAAATAAAAAAAGGTAAAAAAAAAATATTATTAAACTTACTTCAGTATTATAATTACAAAGTCGCAACGCATATGATGTATTGACGACACTGTGAACAATAAATTACTGACTGCTCGAGAGAGGAAAGCATGCTACAACGATAAGACATATCGATAATTCACATTGTATGTATTTCGATATCTCCAATTTCTTATTATCGATATATTTCTGTTACCGATATGTCGTAAGTCCCTAATTAAGGCGCCGCATAACGAATATCATAATTTTAGACATTGCTCATATTAATTTAGTGGTTCTTAGTCATTGGTGAAATTTATTTTTACCGTAGGCGATTCTTAAATATTTAGTGGACAGATTTGGCCGATTCCTAAATTTAAAAAAAAAAACATAGAAATTATCAATTATAAAGAATTTTGTCGTTTTAATTACTTTTACGTATCTATATTGAAAGTTTCTGTTCGTAAAAGTGAAGATATTTCGCAAGAAGGACATGAAAGTGAAAAACATATTAATTCAATGCCATAAAAGGTACTGTGCGTGTATCATAAACAGGAAATTGTTATTATTATTTAAAAATGCATTTCATCGAAAGTTTATTAATATTTGTAAAAATATTTTCTTTTGCCTATTTGGGTGGATTGCCTGAACATTGATTAAACACTCTGTAGTAGCGAAGCTTGTATAAAAAGTAACAAGTGCTTGAAAGATTCATCAGTCTGTTAAGTCTTGGATAGCTCAGTGGTTAGAGCGTACGCCCGGATTGCGATAGATCATGGGTTCGAGTCCCATCTAAGAGTGCCAGGGACAAAGAGTTTTTTTTTTATCATTTATCATTAAGAATATTTTTCAGTATAGCATTGTAATTGCAAAATTGATCAAATATAAAAAAGAAACTTGTTCTTTGAATTTAGTATGATATTGCGAAAGCGTTACTGTGTTACATTCCTCCTTTTACACCTTGCAATTGGTTAAAAATCTTCAAAAAAAGATAAGGATATTGAACACCCCTGTTTTATAGACAACAAAAGATTAATATTAGGTACATTACTTTTACCTTTATGGTTAATGTATTTAAATTATAAGTAATAATTGTCGTGTAACATTTAGAAAACTATATAATATGAACATTTAATTACTTTTTGAAAATTGTATACAAAAAAACACAAATGTCTCTGAAAAAATTGTTATATTTATAATAAAACAGTGCGAACTAAAAATACTTTTAATTAAAAAATTGCCGCTAGTTTGGCAACAAACGATATTTATTATTATTATTTAATAAAATATTGATAGAGTAATCCAAATACGATCGTAACGCATAGACTTTTACTTGTGTGGCAAACTATGGAGCGTTGGTGGTCTCTTTGTATATTATTAATATGCCAGGAAATTTGCTTGAGATTTACCAATACAGAGTATTTCCCGTATAGCAATATAGGTATGTAAAATAAATATAGGAAGTTTTAGATACTAATTACTAATTCAATTTACTATACTAATCACAAAATAGGTATACTAATAATTGGATGCGTGTAAATCGAATCTTACGATAATAGCATACCTAATCATTATCACATACCAATAAAATACCTTTCAATTATTTATTTGATAAATACGCGAATAACTTCGAATAAAAGTGTGATATGCTTTTGTTATTTTTTTTTATATGATTACTTTTAGTTCATTTCGTAAACATAACAGCTTTGAACGTAGAGGTAAATACAGCGCTATCGCACCAATGTGAATTAATAAAAAATCGGCAAGGTGCGAGTCAGACACGAATGGATACGTACTTCCGTATGGAAGTTTTATTAGTACTTCGGGTGTTGAAAAGGGTACTATTATTATAAAGAGGAAAGATTTGTGTGCTTATTGTTTGCATAGAACAGGGGGCCAATTCTACTAAATAAATTTTGTTTAAATCGAATCGAAAACGGATCGAAACCGAACGAAACTATAGTTTTTAAAGGTTTTTCTATTCTACTAAGTGACATACGATACAATTCCAGCTAAAATAGAACTGGAATTGTATCGTATGTCACTTTGTAGAAACTACTGGACGGTTTTTTTTTTCATCAACGGGAAGCTATATCATACGCGGGTGACATGGCTATAATATACTATTCTATATAGCTATTGAGATTCTTTATAGATATTGAGCTATTAAATATATACTTTGTCAGTTCTGACGTTGGCCGATAGATTGCCAATGAAATATGACTCATACTACTTAAATTTTTCCATTATAAAGATAAAAATAATGAAGCTCCGGTCATTAATAAACCAAAACATATAAAAATAACCTATTCATTACACGATATTTATTTGATTTTCGTTATGATAAAACTGCAACAGCTCTTATCAAATTAAAATTGTTATTAATGTTAAGAGGTATTAACATGTCAGGTAATTTTCCTTTTTTTCTTTTATTGATTATTATTTTAAAAACTAGCATTTGCCCGCGACTTCGTCCGCGTGGTAAAGTTACTTTGAGCAACATTTCTAACGAATATTTATTAATGATATCGTATAAAATACCTGAAATAAAGTTTCATCCCCTATTTTATCCCCTTAGGGGTGGAACTTATGAAAATTCTTTCTTAGGGGATGCCTACGTCATAGTAGCTTCATGCATGCAAAGTCTCAGCCCGATCGGTTTATAATTGACAAAGTTTCATACAAAGTTTCATCTCCTATTTTATCCCCTTGGGGGTAGAATTGATCAAAATCCTTTCTTAGCGGATGCCTATGTCATAACATCTACCTGCATGCCAAATTTCAGCCCGATCCGTCCAGTGGTTTGAGCTGTGCGTTGATAGATCACTATGTCAGTCAGTCACCTTTGAGTTATATATTTAGATAAATTGAAAGTGAACTTACAAACAATTGATGTAAGAAAATTTAACAATATGTTACTAGGTGCTCTAAAAATACTTTTTGTACATATTCGTTATACCGATTTATAATTTAGCATTGCGACTGAAAACACTTAACATATTAAAACTAAATTTGATGTATATAGCAGTTCGACATCATCATCATCAACAGTCATGCTGGAGGAGCATGACTGTTGATAATGATGATGTGAGCTGCTGAGCATAGACCAAGAGGTCTACGGAGACCATAAGTCTTCACATCTAAAGGTACTGCGCTGCCCGCACCCAGCGGCCCGTCATTCTAGCACAAAATACCAAAATTATATAATTTATTTGGAACCTTAAATTAAATTACTTAAGGAAGCCATACAACAAATGTGATTGTAAAGAACCTGAAAACGACTCCTACTCGCACTTGATCGGTTTTCTTATATAAGTATTTATTTTTTACTGTGATTATTTTTTATGAAACATTCAAATGTATCATACCCTTAATAACGTAGCGTCTTTATAAACAATCAGGATTTTCCAATTTCGGTCAGTTGTGGTGCTGATTGGGGTCAAAATGGGATTACGCTCTGGTGCATTGGGATTAATACTACTTCTGGCATCTGCCTTCGCTTATATTATAGGTAAATTATGTGACAAATTATTACTTTCAATTCAAATTATTACTTTAAATCTTAAACTTAAATAAGGGAAACGAAAATAACAAATTTATAACCTCGTTTTTTAGGTCGGTCAAAAGTTTCTTTTTTGACGTCTGTTGAAAAACTTTTGACGTTTTATTAGGAAAGCTTAGCGGAGCGCAACACACCATCTTCGCCATCTGACTCTAATTTATCTTATTGACATCTCATAAACCTCTAAACATTGATTAGAATACGTTATACCTACAGTTAATTTATTACTCCTGAGCAGTAGATATGAGATTTGTTTAGTACCGGCGTATTTGCCGTTTGGTGGTACCATGTAAATTTTATCGAAATCGAATCTGCCCTGCGATTCTGGACAAAATACAAACCCGAATTCTAATTCACTCAGGTGTCTAAATTCACTTTAAAAGCGGCAGCCGCTCAACGTTGAATTGGTAATAACATTTCGTGGCATAAGTGAAGTGAGTTTCGAAATAACATAAAAATAGAATATCTGAGACAAGTTATTATATACGAAAAATGGAATCAATATTTTAATTCAATTAAATTAATATTTTTCACTAAATAACGAGAATTCGAAATAATTAAAGTGATGATGATTTTTACAGAATCGCAGGGCAGTAGATTTCCTTTTATAACAAAATAATACGCTTTTAACATCCTAATAGATGACCTAAATATTTAGATGATTGCGTATTTAGAATTAATTCAAAATCCGAAAAGAAGATTTTCTATGAGCAGGGAATATATTTTTATGAAAATAGGTATAAGCCATCTATTCTTTCTTGAAATGTGATCTAATTTTCATCAAACTAGCAGTTTCCCTGCGACTTCCTGTTATATAATAGCCTATGTTTAACAAGTATTATATAGCTTCTCGTAGATGAAAGATTTTTATACATCGGTCCAATAGTTTCGGAGCCTATCCAATGCAAAAAAAAAGGAATCAAATCTTTCCTCTTTATAATATGACCATAGAATTATTAAAAAAATATATGTCGAGCTAATAAACAAAATCTTCTTTTCTAAGACACTAAAATGCATGAAAAAACCTTTAAAAATAGAAATGACATCAAACTTTAATAAAGTGACAAGAAACGGGTAATAGTTTTCGCAAAAGCGCCTTATTCAAGAAAATGTTATGTAAGTCGGGCCCCTATTATTTAATTAATATAACTTAACTTACAGAAGACCTCCACATGACTTCAATAGCATTTTCTTGAATAAGTTGCTTTTGAGATAAATATAATTCATCACTTTTTTGTAAAGTTTCAAGTCGGTTCAATTTTTTATAGTTTTCATTATTTATTATATTGTAATAACTTTCATTATGAGAGCGTGAACATCAAAAAGCGTGATCGATATGACGACATTTCTTGATTTGGCCAGGAAAATCACGGTCTAGTCAAAAGTTTGGCAGAATGTTGTCGATTTGCTCGATTTATATTGTTAAATAAATAATTATTATTTAAACTTCATTTTATACTTACAGAGATGAGCGGTAAGAGGACTGCTCCCAGTTGTTGTCTATCTCTGCGTATATAGTACTTTGGTCACCCTGCAAAATCGATTGGCTTGAGTAATGTCGGGAAAATCGTCAAACGTTAAGCATTGAACAATATGGCGGATGATAGATGGTCAAATCAAGAACTGGCGACATATTGTGATATGTTAAACGTAACGACCAAATAAGCTTTATTTAAAAAAAAGATACCTACATCAATTACTTAAAGTTCTGTCACAGCCAAAACGTGAATTTATAAAATTCTTACAATAAAATTTAATGCCAAAGCTACCCTTAAAATTTACACGTCTTCATGTCGTATAAAATATATCTGTAAAATTCTCTTCATTTATAACAATTAACATAGTATTAGAATCTATTTTTTCTATTACAGAGTTATTAGTAAATAACTTTTAAGAAATAACACCTGTATCAGTTCGTAATGTCAACTCTATATTTCTTAAGACATTTTGTTTCTTTCATTTATAATTTATTTATTAATCCTTGAATAAATTTGGTTGGAGCTAGAGGATGCCTAGAAAATTATTAATCTTGTTTTCTTTTGTATTTTCAGAAGATGACAACACACCAACCATCGTCTGGCCAACCGAATACAGTTTCAAAGGTGAAGTGCTGGATGTGGTCACCGGTGAAATACAGACCTACGAAACGTGGCAAGTGTTCAATATAGGAGTAGTAGATAAATGCTCTTGAACGATGTTTACGTAATTTTCGCGGCGCTCGGTCACGGGATGGGTGACCAAAAAATTATACTCCATGCTTCGGAAGGCACGTTAAGCCGTTAGCCCCGGTTGCATTTGCAGTCGTTGGGTCTAATCTGCATTGAGCCAGCGTGGACTATTATGGCCCATCCTTCTTAACCATCGGTAAGGAAGCCCTAATCTTCTGTAGTGGAGACGTAACAGGCCTGATGATGATGAAATGTATTGCATATTGTCCCTGCAGCTTGATGGACAACAAAGGCATATAGAATTCTCAAAGCACAGACCCGAAAGATTGTCAAAACGCGATTCGCATACCACCCACAAAACACCCTTCGATGCTTTGGCGACCCTTGTTTTGAGGAGTGTCATGTATGATGTTGTTGTAGAGACGTGAGTTTAACGCGGATTACAAGCTCAGACTCACATATTACCTTCATGGATTGCCCCATTCCATAAAAGTGATACTACCCACTACATTAACTAATGCAGAGCGCAGTTCGTTCTCATTCATCGTGGTGTACAGACGTTTGGCTAACCGTCAGTAATAACACTGTCACCCTGAATGTTGTTAGATAGATTTACTTAAAGTACAAAAAGTTGTTTAGATTAGTTATTTGGAGTAATTGCTGTTCTAATTATTGGGTTTAACGCTATTCAATAGTATATTAGTGTCCTTGAAGATAATACTATTCTTATTGTTAATACTTAATAGTGCATACCGCGTCTATATGGACAACGACGCTGTTGATCGATTCGAAGAAGGTATCTCGTCGAGCGTCATAGAATATATATTGCTAATTTAAGTAAAAATTTAAATGAATGGAATAAGTTATTTGGTATACTACGAACCTTAAGAAATAACAAAAAGAAGAAAATAGTACACATGATTAGAGAAAGTGTTAAGATATATACGATCAATTTTCAGGAATAAAGCATTACAAAAGATGACTTTAATGAATTTTTCCTCCCAAAAAATATTTTACCGCAGAACAGCATTAATTTTTAAAAAAAGGAAAATCATGTATTGATGTCCATCGAATAATATGTTTTGCATTTGAACAAAATGTGAATTTAGACATATCTCGTAGGTAAAGACCATCAGAATCAACGATAGGGTTATGCGGAAGAGATTGCAGACAGATTTATCTTTAGCGTAGAAATATGTTAATTAGCGGAGATGGGCTTGTGAACTGACAAAAACCACTCCAACCCATACACTTACAAGACTATGCCACAAAAGCTGTAATCACATTAACTACCCGGCTACGAAAGCACACTTATAGGCTGCGAAGGAATGTAATATGAATACTAGCACAAGCCGTCCACGTGCCGCCCTCCTACCGCCTTCTCTTACATCCTCCATTTTTTTATCTTCAACCATCTGTCTCCCTCTTTCTCTTCCAGAATCAACCCTCCTTTGATATTCTATTTCTTTACGATCCTAACATATCGAAAGGATTTCACTAGTGATACAAGATCACGCCCAAGCGTATTCTGGTAGTATCTAACAAAAAACTTTAAAAATGCACATGTATTTTTTTAATCTCATTGTTTCGTTATTTTCATCAGGTACAGTCAAGAACACAACCGCTCTCGCATTGAATATTTCGGCGGTACTAACAAGCATTACTATGTAGCCGAAACTGAAGAAGAAACTGGATATCAGTACGTGGTAAGTATGTCTATTATATGTGTCAAATAATAATTGTGTTCGGTTATTGGTGACTTGCTTCACTCGTATTGTCAAATTTCTGCTGCAATTGAAAAAAATCATAGATCCGGGGTTGGTTGGCTAGTCACAAAAGTCACAATAAACGAAAACCCAAAAAAAAATATCATTTAAAAATGGGTATTAGACCCTTTAAAAAATAAAGGCAAACTTAATATGTTTAATTTTTTTCACCTTAGATCTACCCAGTTACTGATAAGAACCTATATACAGAAATGGTGTGCGAACAACAATCCCACATAGGTGAACAAAAAAACTTCATGCCGGACGTTGAAGAATTCGAATATTCAGGTATTTAATCGTTTCAGTTAAACTAACATTATTCAATATGTAAAAAAATCACAAACATCAAGTGATTATCAACTTCCTTACCTCCCAAACCTAGCCTCTTTAGCTAAAAGATGGCTATCGGTGACCACTTGACAGCTAAACCAATAAATTCTGAAATATATTGGAAATTGTAACTAATATGTAAACAATAACTATGTAGATTTTTTTGATTTAAATAAATTATAAGTTTATTTTGCTAAATGGAATTGCTATGTCTAGAAATGACATAGTAATTTTTATTTAATTAACAATAGTACTTTAATAATTATTCTATGTAAATCAGTCATTAACCTCGGGGTAGTGGGAGTTGGACTTCATTTATTAAAACGTCTGACAGACATTTTTTTCTGTATATATCTGAGTTTTAGTAGAAATCTATTTTATTTTGTTCCCAACTGATGTTGTTAAAAAGCTCTTACGGTTGCAGCATCTTTTAAAAAATTGCACGCCTATGCCTGACTTCTACTATAGGCAAACGTTTGTTCTAAAAAAACTTATTGTTAGTTAAAATCTAGGCTCAGATTTATTCGCTCATCAAACAGTTCTTTCTACGTAAAAAAGTAACAAACATCCAAACATGCGATTCTACAAACTTTCACCTTTGTTATAGGTAAGATTTCACTTGCTCTTTTATTATTTCAAATGCAGCTAAGAAAATTAAAAATAAGTGATTAATATCCTCATATACTTCCGACTATAAATCCTATTTCGTGGACTTCCTAATCCCTTGCGAACATTTAAGTTGGATAAATAAGTAGCTTATATGTAAATCCAGGATATTAATCAAACCAGAATACAAAATTCTATTAATAACAAAAATTTATGTTTAAAAAATAATATGGTTTAATTATCCAATACTTTAATAGTATTTCAATATTATGTCATAGTGCATGGTTCACCAAAAGGTGTAAAACGCGCAGCTAAGCCATTCATTAATATTTCTTATTTCTCACGTATAGAAAATAAAACTGTTGACGCAACTCACAACAATCGGTAGCAAGACGAACTGCAAGAAGTTTCAACACCAAGTAACGAGATGGTGCTGTACCAATACGAACATCAAAAATTAATAACTACAAGGCAATTAGAACAAAGAAACCTACATCGCCCACAATAAGTTTCAATACCAATTAGCATAAATAGAACGTCCAACCTAGACCGGTAGGACCGCGGTCCCCGGACTAACAACGTCTAGCTCGGAGGGAGACAATTATCCTTTAGTCTCCCTGGCCAGTTGTCTCCATCACCACAGTAGGGACCACACATTCAAACTTAAGGTTCCTAAAATCACAACAAGAACAGGCACGCGGACGGTCATGTCAGTGTCACATCTCAATAAACTAAACGCAATTTCTTTGTTGCGAAAACGTATCTATTGCTAGATACTCCTCCTCCGTGTGGCTGCAGCTCCGGTAGGTTCAGGATACTCGTCGATGCGGCTTGAAAGCCGCCCGGGCGACCCGCGATTCCTGAAATCTAAGTAAGAAATCTTTGCGCGACCCAACCCGCGAGTATCCTACCGACTGCGCCAATTACGTAGGCTCCAGCCGGAGGAATTAAAAAAAAACGAAATTAAAATTTAATTTATTTAATAAAAGTAAAATTACAATTTAATATATTACAAACTACTGTCTAAGCCCGATGCTAGGAACAAAGTACTGGAAAAATATAATTATTAATTTATTGAAAAGGTGGATTTCACAATATGATGACGCCAGGTCACGTAGGCCATCGAACGTTGTATCCACACGTTCCGCTGACGCTGCATTATGGTTTCCTGCAATACCTAACTGGCTAATTTGGGTCGCCGTTGATCTATAGGTATCGGCTGATATAATTAACCAGTACCCATGTTTATTGATATGTGATGTCACGCTGAAATGTCACGTGTCTGATTGTTTTCGCATTTCCATATGATCATATCATATGAAAGTTTTAAAATACGATTCCCAAAATAACTATGTAGCCATTTATACCTAGCTCACACCATACACAGCCACGCGCTGTTTCATACATTTGTAGAACACACTAACTAGACAGAAAGTTAATATTATAAGTTACATAATATTAAGAAGTAGTTTCTTTATTTCAGGTGTTGTTAAACTTGATGGTAAAGATGTTCAAGTATGGAAGACAGAGAAAGAATATGAAGATCTAAAAGCAGAGGCAAATTTGTTTGTAACCAGGACGGAATATGACTTCGACATTCCTGTAAGGTAAAAGTCGAGATCCGTTTATTTATTTTTAATAGGCTTAAAAATTAGGGAGATATTGTATAGTTCAAAAACTATACTATAATATTTGTATTTCGTGCCATTCATTAGTAGTATGACGAACTCGAGAAGAATAGTTTTGCCTCCACCTTTCTGGAGTGTTGATATGAACAGGACAAAACCGAGAAATATTCTATTATATTCATGAAATGTCAAGAGTAGACAAAAAATTGTCATAACTTAAGGTAAAGAATGAGTCCCGTTGTCAATTTGTGCTGTTGGTATACGTAGAAAAAACTTATGTTTCTGGATCTACACCAGACGTATATTTTGCGAGCATAACCAACTATCTATATATTGTATTTATTATAAAAAAAATGAGACTCATTAGTCAACCTTAGCTGTTCAAGTGTAAATAGCCTCGCCTTGATCTATAGGCACGTGTTATATCAGCTACTTTTTTTTTCAGAAAAACGGTAAAGGTCTATGAAACGAGTAAAGGTTCCATCGACAGCTATTTGATCACGAATTATGATGGTTTCGGGTTCACCATCAGCTTAGAAGATGTTGACGTCAACAATGGTATCTTTTAAATAATCATATTTTTTTGCGGTAAATGCAGCGGTTGCGTGTAAGGTGATGGACAGATGCCCTAATAAAAATTGGATAGATCCTTTGGATTCAGGTCCCTCATATACGGTAAAATTAAGAGAAATGAAAATCAGTTAGGTACGTTTAGCAATGCACGAACGACTTAATCGCTTGTGCGAAAGATACATTATGAGGTTTATTCATCACGTATTTTTACTATGCTCGCAATAATGAGTTTTTGGCTCTTGTCCTTACGCTTATTGCACTTGAAAATGTGAATTTCATATAACAGTCAAGAGCACAGTAACAGAAACATTTAGTAACGATGGCAAATGCATGCAAATGCTTATTAGTGCGCGCAGAAATTAAACTACAGATTCAATATATATCGATTAATGCACTGATTTTTAGGGTATCATGGCCAGTGGGTAAAAACGGAACCGTATTACTAAGACTCCGGTATCTATCTGTCCATGTATCTGTCACCATGACATCTCATGAAATTTTCACAGATGATGTATTTCTGTTTCCTCTATAACAACGTATAGGTATTAAAAACGGAATAAAATAAAAATTTTGGGGGTTCCTTTACAACAAACTTTTTCGAAGATAATCATCCCGTTGTTTGAATACCATAGTTCAATTAATATACTTATTTATTAGAAACCTCTTTTTGCATTCATAAACAATAATTTACAATTATGCATTATGATGATATACCCTAATGTTTGGTTTAAGAAAAAGATATTTATTACAAATGTTCATATTTAATTTTGTAAACTTTTTCAATCAGATGATGTTTTATTTTTAAATCACTAAGCAGCTTCAATGCAATAGGGCAAACTATCCCCATATAACAAAACGCAGAAAGATACAGAGGTCTACGAAGATCGATAGTGATAAATGTTTTTTTTCCTTGTTTATGCGACGCTCATATAATATCATTGCTATTATCCATTTTTCGCTTGCCCTATAAGCTTTTCTGATCACAATAATTTGTTTGTTCGTTTCCTCAGAAGAACAGTGCATTTACAGTAGTCCTTTCGGAAAAAATCTGAAGAATGACATGAAATTCCTCAACCCACATGTGCCTGGAGACGTCGAATTAGCTTTCCACAGGTGAATACTTTAGGCTCGAAACCTTTAATGATTGCGTGGTGCGTAGGCAACTACATTTCTTGTTTGTTTTTCCCTTGCGTTTTTCTCACCAATTATCACATTTATATTTTTTACAAAGATTTCTTTGGGAAGTACTAAATAATCACTCGCTAAATAGTTGTTCCGAGGCAACTGTTCATTTAGTCGTTTGCGAGCGAGCTGCGTAAACAGTCGACGCACACGAACACTTAAATCAACAATTTTAACCAGTAAAACGTTATTATTTACAAGCATATTTCGTTTACGTGATTGACATATTTCACCGTGAATAACCACCATATTATGATAATAATGACGTTATTATTGCACTTTTGCTTATCTTAACGAGCGAGCAGTACTACCAATGAACTGTCATTGCATAATGTAACAATTTTAGTTACGATCATCAAGATCAATCAAGATTTTTACTTATATTCTTTTAAAGCTATTATACAAAGAAAAGATAATACGGCTGCCTGTAAGCAGTGAAAGAGAGAAACGAGTTTGCAAAACTCTCTCTCTATTTTCATATGCACTGTAAAAAAAACATACTAAAACAGCGATAAAACCCGCTGAATCGTTCTGCCATTACTCTATCGGAAAGAGTATGGTGCAAGTAGAAAGAGAAAGTGTTTTGCCATTTTCTTCTTTTTTCAAACGAGAGACAGCATAACGCTTCGAGTCTTAGCAGATTTAGCTTTAGAGAAAGGTGTAACTCATTGATCTCTACTTTCGTTTTAGCTTCAAACGTCATCATAAAAAGATTTACGATAAGAACGAACACGAATACAGGAAAGAAATCTTCCATAAAAACTGGAGGTAAGTCATACATTTGGTGTACAACTCATGATTTTCTCAGTCTGTTCTGAATTTTACTCAAAATTGACATTTAACCTCTTCCATATTTTTCACTATTCGTTCGCTTCCTTTTCATACAGCATTTATCAGTCTTCTTCTCTATCACGTTCTATATCTCTATCAATCACGGCCATATTTACCATAAGGCGTTATGCACAAAATTATATCTGTGGTATTATAGCACAGACAGGCATTCTATCCTTAATTAATTCCGATGATTTGTCATAATAAAAATATAAATTAAACGCTTCTTTACAGAATTACACAAGACGTTGAAATAATCTTTTTTCTTTCCAGATATGTAGAGTCACAGAACCGTAAGAATTTGGGCTACAAACTGGAGCTTAATCACTTCGCTGATTATACTGACGATGAATTTAGTATGCAGACTGGCACCAGGCCTTCCGATCCTAATGCGATGGGCAGCATACCCTTCCCTCACACCGAAGAAGAGCTGAAACAGTTAGAAGATAAACTGCCTGAAGAATATGACCTGCGTTTAGAAGGATACTTGCGACCTGTCGGAAGTGCGTTTTTGTAATTTTTTGGCAGTACACCATATCTGAGGAATTCAATAGCGCAGTGAACGTGAACTTAAACACACTTTCGAGAAGATCGGTCGTAAGATGCTTAACAAAAAATTATTACCTCGAACTCGCTTGTGATTCTAAAGGCACGTTAAGCTGTTTGCTCAAAGCGGCTGTGTCTGCAGTTTTAATACAAACAATTCCGTACTTGACCCGCGTGGTAGGTTTTGACTATTCTCCCTTCAGTTCAATTCTATCCCGAGGGAAAGCCTGTGCCCCAGCAGTAAGGACATTATAGAAATTGCTTTGGGTTATGTATAAAAACATTTTATTTACCTTTTACACTTTCAGATCAAGGCGGCTGTGGATCCTGCTGGTCTTTCTCCACGACGGCTACAGTGGAAGGTGCTTTATCCAAATCTAACGGAGGCAGGAACCTGGACCTCAGCGAACAGTCACTCGTTGACTGCGCTTGGGGGTAATTACCAATATTCCAGATACATTATGATATCTAGCAACTTCCGCAAACAATCAGTTGCTGTCATCCGAAAAAGCTACTGCAGTGCTATTCTGTTATAAAAGCATTGTCGAAATCAACATCGAACGCACCGCTATCACACTATAGAGGTTCAATAAAAAAAATCACTATAGAGTTTAAAGTTTTATTTTATTGAAGTTGTTAAGTGAATAAAATAGTTGAGCTTGGTAATCTATGTGGTCTAGTCTCTAGATCACATTCTGGTACAAGTATTCTATTCTTCGAGTTATACGTACCCTTTATTTGCTACAGTTATGAAAATTTCGGCTGCAGCGGTGGACAATTAGACAAGGCTTATGAATATATCCTCCAAAATCAGATACCCACGCAGAGAGAATATGGAGGATATCTTGAATTAGTAAGTTTTGTCATTTATCTAAAATCGATATAATAAAAGGTCAGCGTATCAAATAAATCATCTAGTATCAAAAACTTGAAATATTGTAATATACTTCTTGTTGAATTTAGATCAAACGTCTCATTACAAGGTAAATAAAAGAGGGAGTAAATTTATATACCTCGTCAGTTTTCGAAAGTTACTAAATCGATTAAAAATGAGTTGGTAAGAAAATAAGAGTGACATATATCAGGCTTTCTAAAATCCGCGAAAGTTAATGTGGTCTAGTTTCTGACTTTACACTTATTTTGCAACTGCCCTTCTATTTAGGAAGGCATGTGCCACCTCGACAACATGACCGAGACATTCGGCATCCGCGGCTTCTCCAAGGTCACTCCCGGAAACCCAACTGCCATGAAGACAGTCCTCAACAAATATGGACCAGTCGCAGTCGCCGTATACGCTGGAACCAACATGAAACTCTATTCCAGTGGGATACTATACGATTTTGATTGGTAAGTATTTCAGATTTTGTAATTACAGTTCCTTTTGTCGCTCCTGGGCAATTAATTTCGACACCATGGTCGTCTTTGGAAAACATTGCTGTATCCGAAAAATACACGCGATAAAACCGTTTAAGAGCAGATTATTGTTTTTAATAATTATCTAGATAAAGGCTATTTTTAGTTATTTACTTTTTACCGGTTTCAATTAAAAGGTTATGAGTATAATGTTTTTTAAGGTTCCGTCATTGGAGAATAGAAACGGCACACTTGTAAGATGAGTATATGTGTATGATTATCTAGACAGATGAATAGATTCATCTATTTACTTTACTCCGAAACTACTGGAGCAGTAGAGTCAATATTTGGCATACATATGCAAGTTTGCACATATAAAGAGCAGCTGGATCATTGGTTAGCGCATTTTGTCTGCAATACTGAAATTAAGCAACTTCCACAAAGGACGGTTATAAGATGGGTAACTAAAAATTTACTATTTCAAACTCCTTGTTGTTCGTATGGTCAGCCTGCATCTACAATCGTGAATACATACACACTGTGCCCGCGTGGTGGGTTGTAGCTGAGACTCTTTATCTGATTACATTTAGCAATGAGGACATCAATGATGTGTGATATGTACACGCAGAGAACAGGGTACAGCTGAAAATCAGTGACTGTTCCTTTAAGGAACATCCAACGCGGAGCAATTTCCCTTTTTGGACTACTGCTTGATACTTGGTGTGTTTGTGCAAACATACTTTGGTCAAATCATTGTAATGTTGCCTATAATTTTTCTGTACACAAACAACGCGTTTTACAATAACCTGTAACGTAGTGCTCAAGTAGTCAAGTTTTTATCTAATTAATTTAAACAAATGTAACATCGAAGCTCGGTGAGTAGCTCGGTGGCGTAGTGGATAAGCGCCGCGGCCCGCGATCGTAGTCGTTAAGCAACTTTCGCAAGGGTCGGTCACGGGATGGGTGACCAAAAAATTATTATCTCGAGCTACTCCGTGCTTCGGAAGGCACGTTAAGTCGTTGGTCCCGGCTGCATTTGCAGTCGTTAATACCCTCCAATCCGCATTGGGCCAGCGTGGAAGGTCATGGCCCATCCTCCTTAACCATCCATAAGGAAGGCCTGCGCCCCTGCAGTGGGGACGTAAAAGGGCTGGAGATGATGATGATGATGAACATCGAAGCTACGATCTATGACATAGACGTCATCTCAAAATATTTTTCAGTGACAGTGCCGAAAATCCAAACCATGGCGTGGTAGTTGTTGGTTACGGCGAGCGAGATGGCACCCCATACTGGATCATACGCAACTCCTGGGGTGAAAACTGGGGAGAAGATGGCTACATACTCATTTCGGCAGTGAACAACAACTGTATGGTCCTCAGCACAGCATTCTACCCGATTGTCTAAAGTATTTTACTATATTTAAAAATACAAAAAAGGTTTATCATTATTAGAAGGCCCATTTTTTAAATTTTCATATTTAGAATACAATAGCTCAACATTGTGTGACATGAGATATATTTATATTGTTATAAAATATAATGCCACCATTATAAGAAGTCTCTTTTCAAAGCATTAAGATTTCAATTTCGAATTCAATATTCGGTATAGTCGACGATATCAATTATAAAAAAGGATAAATGTTGTCTTTTTGTTCTAGTCAAACTGACTTTACCGTGCTGTCAAACTGTCAAATACAAAAGACAAGAAATGGTGTATCGGCAATTAAATAAAAGCCGGGTAATACTCTCGACTCAAGTTACTCCGTCCATTTTATGCCAGTATAACGAATATATCAGCGCTCATTATATATTTTTCTCATCACTAAATAATCTATCCCTTGCTGATGCTGAAATAATACTATAAAATAAATAATGAATATGAACCGGAGCTACCAACTCCTACATTGTTTTATTATTTTGTCACTTCTACATCATCAACAGTATTATAAAAAGTGACATTAATAATAGTAACTAATTTGTCATATAAAATATGTTATCAAAATATGGATATGCCTGCGATTTAATTATAGAATTGTAATTTAACCTGTCAGTGTTATTGTTGCAATGTTCTTATAGGGCTCATGTTATGTTAAAAAATTAAAGCAATAAATTGGAGTCTAAGATAAAAATATACGGAACATTTCGCTTTGAAAATGTATCTTCTCTAGCTGCCATGATTTTATAATATTGGTGGATTTTGAAATATTAACCATCTTTCATGAAATCGTAATATTGAGCTTTTGTAAATTGTTCTTAATTTATAATTCTGGGTGTACTCTACGACTGATGATTGCGTTATGAGGTATTTTGATTTAAATAAATTTCACGTGCAAACAATGTGCTTTTTATTTCTTTACAAAACATTTTTGTTTCGACAACACAAATGAGCGTCTGTTGTAAGTAAATACTTTGGATCCGATGCCTTTGATGCAAGATTTCACTCACACTAGCAAATAATGTTTGGTCGAAGCTTTGTAATAAAAACGAGCTGACCCGGCGAACTTCGTACCGCCTTATTATACCAGTTTAAAAAAAAATCTTATATACAAACCGTGTCTTGAATCGTGGGACACATAAAAAATTAAATCATCCAATTTGATACAGTCGGAACTAGAATGCGGAAGTTATGCGCGTACATACGTTTCGGCGATTCATTTTTATTCATCGATATTTAATAGCTCGCCTGGACTTATTTTTTTATTTTTCGATAACTCATTAGTTATAATTTTTTTGATATAGTGTAAAAGGCAATTTTGATCTAAATTACATGCACAACGTATCTAGCTTATTTATTTGAAAACTGTATCGTTAAAAATAGGTTTGTAATTAACCCATCATTTTACTTTTACTGTTTTAAGTATATGTAAAAAAATTATTATTGTGGGTTATCCTTGAAAAGTAGACATATACCACCGTGGACTATTTTTTCGATCTCCTAAAGAGGTACAATTCCACCATACAATGTTTTGTTACAACTCAAAAGTTTTTGGCATCATTTTTGAGGAAAGCTTCCGATCGGCTTTCTTTTTTCCGACATATTGAACTAATATCGTTGTAATATCGTCAGTTTGTACAAAACCTAAACTCGCTATACACTAAAACCTTTGTTCTATCACAGAATTGTTCTATCTATTGTTGAAAACCGCATGAAAATCCCTTCAGTACTTTTCGTGTTTATCGCGAACAGACAGACAGACAGAAGCGGCGGGGACGTTTTATAATATGTAGTGGTAATGAGCGAAATACCAGTTCTAGTGTTTTTCTTCTTCTAGCGAATATTCTTCCGTATATGTCAAGGTCTAAGGCCAAGGTCCTAATCTTGTCGCCCGGCTAATTCGCATGGTAAGACCTTCATTAATTTATTACGTAATAATTTTGTCCTTTTCTGTTATCTAGTGATTAACGATCTTGTTTTTAATCGACTTTGTACAAGGAGTTTTTTTTAAAAATCCGACTGTTTTGTACCAAGTACGACCAGGACTTTCTTTTTAAAACGTATTGAATGAACGATATTGTGAATTAGACGTTAATTGTAATTATCTAAGGCAAGCTTGAGACTCAAATATATTTGAAAGCTTTTAAGAATGTCAAACGTAATGCCATCTGTAATCATTCGACCGGTTTGGATAAGTTTATATTATGTTTCTTGTTTATTCAAATCATCATTCGTTTCTGATGCGATTAAGCAACTTATAATAACTTACGTAATTCCATAAATCGCTGTACTTTTAAAAGATTGGGATAGTTTAAAACTATACAATTATTCCACAGACGTACTGTTGCGATAACCATAAAGATAATTATTTTATTTAACACTAAGTTCACAGACACAAAAAACATCGCGACATGTGCCCTTTTTTGCACTTTTTTGTTCTTATTGTTATTTTTTATGTATAATTCCTAGGGCAGTATTCCTAATTCAGCCGTTCCGGATCTTTTCAGCATCCAATCACAACCCGCGTGTCATCTGATGTCGTCCACCCATTTCTTGGGAAGATGGCCACGCGATCTATAGGGCAATTCTGCTTACGTTAGCGTAATTTTGCAGTCAATAGCGCTTCAACTACAACCCTTTATGTCACAATTCTCGTTAATTGATTAAATGAATTAATTTATTCTTAATACAAAATGCTTAAAAAATCCACTTGGTCCCTGGTACCCTGAAATGGGAATCGAACCGACGACCTTTCGCAATCCGGGCGACTGCTCTAACCACTGAGCTATCCAGGACCAAACAGGACTGACGAATCTTTCTGAGATTCTGTTTATATGCGATTATTCCGTAAAAATTACCGAATTGAGGCCCGTTACTAGCACGTGGTGGACCGAAAATCGACGACAGTCGTTAAATCTTTACGGCGTAATTTGTAAGTGGCCTAAGATATATTATATTTTAATATAGAATCAAGTAGACACGTGAGGTATTATAATTATTTACCATTTATTAATAATCTTGACGTTGCTACCAATCTTCTTAAAGAAAAAAAAATTATTTATTCAAGCAATAAATTGTTTATATATTCATAACTTTTAGAAAATTCTTAAGAATTATTCTAAAATGAATAAAAACCAATAACAAAGATGAAAAATTTTACCTTGTAGAAGTCCTCGCTCCTTCTAAAACGAGATTGTACGGATATTTGTAAGTTTGTACGGTGGCTTAGATTAGTCGTATGTCGCTATAGTTTGTATGTCGCTAGATAGGGGAAAGGAAACAAGATGGAAGGGGTAATTTTCTGTAGTAATAATAAGAAATGTACTTGACTCAAGTATCTTATTTTAATTGTTCTAGGAAGGTAATTAAATAATATAAACATATTTCAATTTAATAATAACTGCACGCTTCAAAAAATTATTGTAACTCGTAAAGTAAAACCCTAAAAATTGGTGGTGTCGCAGGGTCGCCTAGGATGGTATGGAGGAGGCAGCTTCTGGAAACGGGAACTAAGGTAATGGGGTGAATAAGGATTTTACATACTACAGAGCTGCTTCCACCCTTAGTGTATTTATTTATTACATTCCATAAAAAATTTCGTTAATTTTTATATAACTTAAATTATTGTTCTTTTATAAAAATTTAATTAATTTTTTTTTAAGAAATATATATTTTTTATACAAATTATCATATTTTTTACGGTCGTTCCGATATTTAAAATATAATTGACGTTTTTTTAAACAACTTTTTACTATTCATTTTTAACATCTACATATAGGTGATCTAGAAGTTCTTTTTATTTTTGTGACAGGAAAATATAAATCATAAAACAATTTGTATGAAAAATAAAACTCATTTAAAGATTCAGTAGCACTCAATTTTAGACCATAAACTTCTGTCACGAAACTTCGTCATTTAATATAATGTTTTAGCTATTTCTAATTAATGTGATATTAACGATAACATTAATTCAATATCTTTCTAGAAACATCGCTATCGCAAACGCTAAAACATGTAGTTGTAGCGTAAGTTCGGGAATATTTCTCAAATATTAAACTGATAGGGATTGTCCTTCAGCCTAGAAATGGAAAGTTAAAGTAAGAAGAGTCTATGCGAAGATCGGAAATTCGTTTTATTCACTAAGGTCCGAAATTATTAAAAAAATATATTTTTGAAGTGGCCGTGAACTTTGTAAGATAGTATTGGAAATTTCAAAACTTATTTTTGCATTACCAATAACAATTAGCGAATAAATGTTTTTAATGTTCGTCTGTTTGTGGCTTTGTTCAAAGACTATTAGTAGGTACTATACAGCTGGAATTTGTTTGACGACGCGGCGATAAGATATTGAAAAAAACATCCGAAATTGTATTTTATCTTTTTGAACAATATGTGCTTAGAAAACTCGTGACGAGTACAAATTTTAAAGTACATCCGTGCTGCTTAGTAAATTTCCAGATTTATTTAAAGTTTTTTTTGCTCACAAGCAATTGTAAAATAGTGATTTTTAATGATTAAAATCACTAATTTCAATTGTGTTTATCAGAAAATATTATTTCTAAATAAGCTCTAAATCGAGAACAGAAAACTATATCATCGACACTAATATTTTAAAGAGGTAAAGCTTTTTTATTTGTTTGTTTTTACCATTGGAAATACTGATCCGATCATGAAAATACATACACCTACGGCTAGCTACATTATACGTGGGGTGAAATAGGCTATAATTTACGCAGGCGAAGTCGCGGGAAATAGTTATTAATAAATAAAATAGTTTAAAGTGTTATGTTGCCCAGGCATATGCTATCAAAGTTATATAGAAGCGTCACCAGACAATTTTATGTCTCTCTCTATATCTCGGAATCGTGACACTTTATATGTATCAAACGTGAGGAGAGAAGGTGGAGGTTCTTATCTACAGACAAAGCGTGCCTGATAAATAGTAGATTGTTACACAAGGGGCTTAATTGACAATACATATGTATACGAGGTAGTTTTATAGATGAGTTTGGAGCCATTGTATACAAACCATCAAACCCAAATAAAACACATTAAATATTACTTTCTTTGCCTTTTTCTCCTTTTCAGCTAAACTTGTCCTGCATAGCTACCGTCAAACTCTCTAGCCATAATTATAGCCGTAGGATACCACATCTTATCGATGTTATATCGATAATTCGTTTCATTTTACTACTTTGACATGTAATTTAATAACGATGAAAGAACAATAAAGAATGTTGATTAGCGATTTGATAGCAGTGTAAGCAATTTAGTAATTTATTCCAAATTTATCCACCAAAAGATATGTCAAAGTAATAACATCAAACGAAATATCACGAGTAGAGAGTTAGTCGTTCTTACCTCCGAACGAGTAATAAGGAATAAATCTGGATTCAAAAATGATTTTCCAAATAGGCTTATTAGAATAAAGAATAACTTCATTCTTCTTACCGCTTCAGAGTAAAATAATGTATTAAATTTCAATAAAACTAATATTTGAGTTGTTCCGTATTCATCCTGAGACGTATTTGAGTTGTACCGTATTCATCCTGTGACGTCTCATCCCATTTCTTTACTCATCTCAAACTGGTATTCCTAACTCAACGCGATATTTGCTTAATTCAACCTAAACATATTCCTTATTCGTCCTGAAGTAAATATTACCTTAAAAAGAAGTATAGATAGTACAACATTTATTTCTGTTTTCGGAAAATTATTATGCATTCAATAGAAATACTTGTCTAATATTACAAATGAAATAAATGTGAATGTTTAGTTTTCAAAACTATTATTAGCTACATTTTTTAATTAAATGTGTTCGTACGAATCCCTCATCGACCTGATAATGTTTCTAATGCTGGAGCACAGATCTGCCCAATAGATGCAATCGAATGAA